GATCAAAATGTAAGGCTAACCCCTTACAAATTTATCCAATTTTGTCTCAAAAGCTCAAAATCATGAATTTGCTTGAAACTTGTAAAAATGATGTATCTTGGTCTCAAAACATATTATGGGTCATCAACGATCATTTTGAAGCACTTTGGAAAAAAGTCAATTTTTGGTCAAAATGTAAGGGTAACCCCTTGCAAATTTATCAAAATTTGGCTCAAAAGTTCAAAATCATGAACCTTGTAAAAATGATGTCTCTTGGTTCCAAGAGCATATTTTAGGTCATGAATGATCATTTTGAAGCACTTTGAAAAAAGTCAATTTTGGGCCAAATTTTAATTAAAATGCAAGGCTAACCCCTTGCAAATTTATCAAAATTTGGCTCAAAAATTCAAAATCATGAATTGGCTTGAACCTTGTAAAAATGATGTCTCTTGGTTCCAAGAGCATATTTTGGGTAATGAATGATCATTTTGAAGCAATTTTGAAAAAAGTAAATCTTTGGCCATCAATGTAAGGGTAACCCCTTGCAAATTTAGTTAATTTGGCTGAAAAGATCAAAATCATGAATTTGCATGAATGACGTCTGTTCATCTTTAGAACACATAGTGGGCCATAAATAATGAATTTAAAGCAGTTTGGAAATTAAATCAAATTTAATTAAAATGCAAGACTAACCCCTTGCAAATTTATTTAATTCTTAATGAGAATTTTTGCTTATAATTTTACTTAAAATTTGCATACAAGACAGCTGTTAGTCCCTTGGACCACATTTCTAGATGCTTACAAGCATTTTGGAGGAAAAATGAAACTGTCCAAAATTTAAAATGGCAGGCTGACCCTTGAGAAGTTATTCATTTCAGTCGTGCTAAAAATTATCCTTGTGTGAAACTTGAAAGACACCTCTTAGTCCATGGAACACATTTACAGAAGCACTTTGGTGGGGTACGGAAAAACTCAAATTCTGGCTAATGTTTTACTGAATATAAAAAATAACCAAATCATACATCTTGGTATAATTGCCATTAAAAATAAGTAATTTACAAAGTAAATCTTACTTTGTTCTACTTTTGTATCAGTTTTAACTTTTTGTAGTCAACTTTTGCACTTTTTTATACACCATTGGGACTTACAAACATGCAGTTCTGACTTAAAATACACAAGATAGAAAGCCCAATCCCAAACTATTGGTATCACTTAAATTACTGTTGGTTTTACGACATTTCACTACCTCAAACTTATATTCCAGAAAAAGAATTCAACAGTATTGCCTTGACAAAGATATCCTACTACACTGTACAGAATTTTGTAGAAGGTTTATATATGCAAACCCGAATTGCCCACGTCCCTTACCAAATCAACTATGACTGTACTCGTACATTATTCCACTTTGATTCAGTTTTATCAGAAGAACTTTTAATAAACATTTCAACTCTGACTGGAACAACTATTTCCAACTTGGCAAGTGTCACTGAGCAGAAACAATTTAAACAAATGCAGTCTTCATAATCATTATCTTTGTGCGATCAAAATGAAATGCGCCCTCTATTGGAATATGCGCGAAACAAACTGTGGAAACGGCATTAATTTTGGGTCATGAATTACCGCACGGCATCCCTGGATAGCAGGCAGTAAGACCGATCACTGCTTGCATTTGAGATTTTTTTCCGTTGGGATGTGCGTGCATTTCTATAGGTTTCCAATCCTGCATCTTGAATAAACAAGCTGTCACGGAACAAAACTCCGTAGTCATAAATCTTGAACTTGAACAAAAAAACTCTGGAAAAAACTGGTGAGAGCTGAGCATGCATAAATCTGTGCATTTGACTGTGACAGTTGACTGCTAGAGGGCGCCCTTGCATGAAGTCTTGTACCCCCGGGTCCTCTCTGCAGTCCCTATCTTTACAGCTTGATGTTCTCCATGGCTTTCCTCAGCCCGTCTGCCCGGATCTCCTCCTCCATGGCCCCTACCTCGTCGGCGAAGCCGGCCGTCTCCTTGGTCAGTTTGCCCAGGAGGTTACCCACCTTGACCAGGTCGGGCCGGTGGTGGGATAGCTTGAACTGCAGCGGGTGGAAGTCCAGCGACTCCAGCAGGCGGACCATGTGGCCGGTTGCATTCTGGCTGTTCAGGAAAGAGACGAAGACTAGCTTGGCCGGGTAGACCTCCTCGTAGTACTTCTTGAAAAGAGTGTGGAAGCTGATGGATGTATGGCGTAAACAAATCGTTAATCTTGATTTCAAACTTGGCAGGCTTAAAGACTGATAAGAAGAAATTTTAGGAATGACAACAAAAAAAAAAGAAAAAGAGAAAATATCTTTGCAAAAACAAACGCTGTTTCGGAAATTGCCAAAGACGTCAGACGAAGCAGTAATTGGAAGAGTTTCCTCAAGGAGCTAATTTTGGAAGTTTTAAGGAAGCAATCACGGTACTCACTAGAGGAATCCGCCATTCACTCTGACGGTGCCGTTCTCTTCCTCGTCCGTGACCATGATGAATGTCTTGATGACCTTCTTCTCCTCGTAGTACGGCAGGAGACTGGCTGCAGGCACGGTGCTGCCCTCAGTGTTCAGCGTCGAAGCCAAATGGAGAACCTTTCCATAAAAATTGAACAAAAGTGATCGGTACGTTCTGGCTTGAACTTGGATCATGCTCCATTTCGTAAAGCTGATAACTAACGTTTGGATGAGAAAATAAATTCCAAAAGTACTCTCTCACAAACCAGTAATAAAAATCATTTTACGCAACAGCTCCGAAGTATATGTGAAAGACGTCGACTTTCTTATCCACACAATATCCTAATACACCTTTACAGCTTTGCCCCCTTACGTTGCTCAATTTATAAATTTCAATTCTCCTCTTCGATGATGCCAAATAAGTAAGCCCAAATTTGTTAGGCTAAATCAGGAATTATTTCTCCGAGGAAAGGCAAAGGAGAAAGCAGAGAGGATGATGAAGCCAATTGCAAATATCCATCTGACCCTCCGTGGCACAGTTGGACCCCTGTCTCTCTTGCGGCACAAAGAACATCCCGTTCTAGAACCGCAAGGGGAGCAGATTTAACAATCACTGAACCTACCTCCTCGATGGTCTGGGGAATTTTGTCTGGCACGGTGTTGCGGTTGCTGAAGAAGGAGAGTTCGGCCTTGGCGATGGCGGTCAGCAGACTGGCGATGATGGTGCTGGTCTTGATGGCCGTGCCCATGGAGGGTGACCGGTCACCAATCACGGCCACTGGTGAGTCGACTGTCAATCTGCCAGAAACAGCAAGAAAAAAAAAAAATTATCAGTGTGCTTTGGAGTTTGTGACCAAAATGTGGAAATGCAAAATGACACACAGTTCACGGACTCTCGCCTCTCTAAACTGAATGAAAGTCAAAACTCAAAAACTTTGCCAACCGCAATTAAAATTTGTGCACCTACAGTAACAACATGGTGTCCAATGTTTACAAAAGAGAGATCCTAGTTCACTGTCCGAAGAATTGTCATTTCTTACTTAGTCTGTTTCAGTATTTTCTCGGCCATCGAGATGAGTCGTTCAAACAGCTCTGTTGTCTCCTCCTTCTTGGCGGCATCACCTAAGCGTAGACAGAGCAAAAGACAAGAAAACGGCATCAGTTTCACCATTATCATTTGCCTTGGGGTGACATGGTACTTGCTTGCATATGTTTGTACTCCTCAGGCATGCAGTGATCAATGTGATCAAATCACATTACATCAAATCACATCAAATCAAATCAAATTGTATCAAATCACATCAAATCAAATTGTATCAAATCACATCAAATCAAATTGTATCAAATCATATCAAATCAAATCAAATTGTATCAAATCAAACTGCATCAAATCAAATCATACTGTATCAAATCAATTGAAATCAATCAAATGCAATCATGCCGTATCACATCTCACATTCAATCAGATCATATCATACTGCGCTGGATCTCAATCAGTATCAAATTCAACACTGCCACTGAATCAAGCTTGATTGCTTACGGGTTCGCAGCTCCTTGATGACCAGTAGACGTTCCATGAGCTTCCCGTACGGGAGGTCAATGACCTCGCCAGCCCTCAGCCGCTCTGCGATGACGCGATCCACCTCAGGACAAGTCAAGTCCTCATAGTTCCTGTGAAGATTGAGTGAAAGGAGGTTTCTGGCATCAGTTACAATTTCGTCATTCACTCATCCTGGGTTTCAGTCTTGGCATATGTCGGAAAACGATTTGTCATTTTTCGAAATTTAAAGGAGTTTTTAAACATGGAAAGGTACCGAGGAATTCTGTCCATCTGCCACGGTGGCTATTATTCTCCCTGGCTGTTATTTTTCTAATGCGTAACTGTCACAAATACCGAAGCCAGGATGATCGCCAACTTAAAACCAAAATCCTGTTTATTAAAGTTGTTGTCTCACCACAGGAGGGCAGTCAGGTGTTTCTCCGCTTTGGCGATGCGCTCTTTCGACTCGTTGGTCAGTTTGATCTTGTGGGACTTGAAGAATGTATAGGGGATGTCCACGGAGGCAATCAGCTGGTTGGCTTTCTCATCGTCCAGGTCTTTGCACTTGGCCACGATAGAGTCCTCGGGAGCTGGCGCACCGTAGCAATAGGGAAGGAACCAGGGTACCTGAAAGTCCTACAATAACAAGAAGGGCAATATTGAAAAAAAAGAAGCAACTTGACTAACTAACAGTGACCAACCCTGGCCAATGATATATCCCACATGGCAAACAGAATCGAATCAAATCAAAATCAGAATCAAATCGAATCACACTGAATCAGAATCAAAATCAGAAGAACCTTGACAACGTTATCGATTGTTGTACGAAAGCGACCTCATAGTATACGGCCCTTCCAAACAAAATGATATTTCAAAGAATGGTGCGCACCGTCTTAGGATTGAAATGCACCAAGTCAGCTAGTTTCTTCCAGGGTTCTTGTGGAAAGTGCAGGGCATAGAACTCAAGGTCCTGGGGCGGGATGGTCCTCACCCAACGATGGATGTGGCGGCAGACGGCTCCACTCAAAGACCCAACCTGGGAAAACAATTGAAGACATTTCATCACTTCTGATTCCAAATTCCAACTTGGGTTGTCAAGTCTGGAGCAGATCACGTGGCCTAGCCATTCTGGTTCATGAATCAAGATCAAAGGGTCAGAGGATTGAATCCAGCCGCTGGTCACAAAATGTGGCCTTAGGCAAGACACCCCACCCCCTATTCCTCTTTCTCTACCAAGGAGTATAACTGAACATCAGTGTCAGGTAGGGAGCAGCCTTTGATGGACCGGCATCCCATCCAGGGGAGGAATAGAAACATTTTCAGTAATTTTGTGGCACGGAAACCAGAGATAAACATCGTTTTGAAGGGCCGCAATGGGGGGGGGAGGGGTTTCAAGTCTTACCGAGGGCTTGATGGCGCTGAGGTTGTGGATGGTTGTCTTCATCTTGGCCACCTTCTGCGCCTTGTACTTGGGCTGCATCTGAAGCCGTTTTAGTTTCTTCTCCCACTCCCGCATCTTGCGGCCAGAGTCCAGCAGGGTGGCGGCCTTCAGCACCTCCACCAGGCCGAACGCCTTGCGCTGGGCCAGCAGGCAGTCGGCCAGGTCATGGTCCTTTCGGGCCCAGGCTGCAGCCAGGGCGCGAGCCTTGGCACCTAGGAAGGGGAAACAGTGAGGGGAAATGTGGGTTCAGCAGAGTTTGCAAAGAACTTTGCAACCGCTCGGCTACAGTCTCCTAGGAATGAATAGGGGCCGTTAGCAGAATATCAAGTGCATATCAATTAGGCTGTAGATGCTGTATAATTTCTCTCGTCCAGTGCAAATTCTTACTTTGCAGGACCTCAGTTCCAGTCTTTTGGAGCACCAGCAAGGTGGCAATGTACTTGGTGCGGTCCTTCTCCTGGGCATTGAAATGCTTCTCGAAGGATACCTCCGAGGTGAAGAGAGTAGGCAGATCGGCCATCACCTGGTGACGGAGAGAAGGAATCAACTCCTAACTTGGAGATACTCAGAATAACAGAATATCTGTGCTGGCTTTCCTCTCTGACCACAAGAATATTTCTGTGAATGTTGACTCTAATTTGACTTTGAGAGTGACCAAAATAAAATTATGGATTCAAGTTGGTTCAGTGATAGAAATGGTACTATATTAGTATAAACAATGGATTTTTACTGTTTCACTCAATGTTATAGCAAGTTAATCCAAGCAGTTTTTAAATTGGCCGCTGACAACATTTATTTTCTCAGTTAAAACCTTTCAGAAATTGTGTTTAAACTCTTTTCCATGAATAATTAATTGGGAATTACTCGTTCTCCCTTCCATTAACCATTGCAAAGAGAACTTTCAAAATGAACTCTTACATCCTCGGTGAAAAGCCTAACTTCATCCGCTGCCTTCAACTCATAGTCCTCAGGTTTGCTCTGCGGGACAGTGTTGCCTGTCCGCCTTCGCCTGTAATGTGAGCGTCGTGGCCTTGGCATTCTTCAGCAAAGTACGTTGCGTCCTTTTTGGACAAGAAAAATAAGGACTGGCTGAAACAAGAAAACCTGTGCCAAACATAAAAAGCACAATCCTGACTTGATCTCAATTTTCGTTGTTTATTAAAGTCATAGGCTTAATTAATAGGCCTGGTTCATCTAAACCAGCTTCATGGAAAGCATTGAAAACGGTTAACTTTCTGATAAAAAAAAGGAAGAAAAAATGAAAGAGATATACTATTTACCGAGTACAAATGGGAACACAAATTAAAAATGCCTTAAAAAAGACATCCATACATGGACATGACACCACTCGACATCCTGTGAACAAACCCCAATGAGCCAAAAATCTGTTTAAGTAAACGCTTCAACATTGTCACTGCTAAATTCAACTTTTTATGACATGGTATCACTTTCTGATGGCTTATAAGCCACTGCAACTTTGCATGGGAAACTAAGTGATGTCCGTAGGCCTTTATGGAACTTAAGTTTTACCATGCCTAAAGGCTTACCGATAGTTATGACCTACTTTACTTAGCTACCACTAAATTCCTCTGTTGGTCCAACATGTTAAAATTAACATGAAAAATCATTAAAAAAAAACCAAAACAAAAACTCACCAAAAATGTTCAAATCAGTTGAACACTTCTGCTTGTTGTGTGCACACTTTTCAGCTTTTTTTTCCCTGCAAACTTCAAATGTTGACGGGTGTCTGACGTATGTTTGCAATTGTAGGGTACGCTGAGCGCACCAGGTGTCCCGGGATATTTCACCCGGTATCTTTCGTCTGAAGTCCCCACGAGTTTTCCGCTGTCTAACGGGACATCCAGACGGACGCTGTTTATATGCAGCTAAGCTCTGATTGCACAGGCAAGTGCAAAGGCATTTTTGACGGCAGTTTGGGCTTGCAGATGATTTCATCATGAAAACCAGTCCAGGGCAGCGCTTCTTGTTAGCATACGAGTGGTTAGTCATCTTCCTTCGAGCTTCGAAGTGACATGCTTTGTGTTTTTTTTTCATCTGACCTCAGCCAAATTGCCCAGTACGTTCCCCTGTGGTCTTCTAGCCTACGTGCATTGTTTAGGAAAAGCGGAACCCGTCTACCTAGAACTAGCCGCGTTCTCAGTCGCAATGTTGTGCAACATGTAAACAACTCATTTCGCAGCACTTGCAAGAATTTCCGGCGCTAGCGCTATCCATGACGTAAAACCCTAGACAGAATGATGACATAAGTGGAAATCTTCTTCCAGAAAGAATTTCCTGAAACAAAAGCAGCCCAGCTGCGTGCCAAAGCATCTTAAAGTTTTCGCTGCTTCAGCAGTATCGCCAAAATCGCATGTTTTCCCCGAGGATTTTTCAATCATCTTGCAGGAATAACCATTTCTTCCTGAACCACGTAGCTGTGACGGTGTGCGATGCAAAGTTCACACATTGAAACCTTCCCCTAATTAATTCTAGAGGATTTCTATCTATTGTTTCCCACCTGTGATATTTGTCTTATATTAAAATTTTGTCAGTTTTTGAAATGTTTTTATAATGTTCTTAATTTCCTGAAGTTTCACATTACTCCGCTGAACAGCTTTCCTAAACCAAGTTTCAGGAATTGTAGAAATGGAGAGAAAGGTTTTTCAGTGATAATTTGTGAAAGAGAAAAAATGTAATTCACAAACAGTTTGAATTTCCAAGTACAAAAGTCACTGCCCAGCTCTCGAATGCCCAAACGAGTGAAAAATCCTGAAAAATTTAACAAAATCATCCTTCATTTGAACACTGAATAAACACAGTCTTCAATAGGAAATAAGCAAATTTCAATAACTAGTTTTTTTATTGCAAAACCAAAGTAAAATTCATTACTTTAATTCTGTACACAAAATGCATATATAATTTATACAATTTTATACAAAAAACAATTACAGTTGCCAAAAAGTAAAAATAAATATAACTGGTCATTTTTTTCCTAGGGTGGGGCGGCAATGGTGAAAAATAAAGTCCATTCAACTTTCTGAACATGGTTTTTCAGTTAATAAAAAACTGATTTTTTTTCGATTTCACAATGGGGCATACATCTTTAAGAATTCAACATATGTGTAATTCTATAAATTAAGGGTCCGGATGCGTGACATATCTGGTGTCCAAGTTACACTTGACTTGGAAATGTTATTTAAACCGACTTCAAACTATAGTCAGTTTATTTGGCAGGTAATTTGCATTATGACTCGTGGAAATTAAAGAATGTGTGTCCTGAACTAACAAAGCAATACATCCAGTTGTGACAGGGTGAAAAAAATTGGACCCTAATTTATATAATTACCTCTTTATAAAGCCGATTTGTAAATCAAAGGTCATGCGATGAGACATTTTGCCTACGACAAGAAAGATTAAAAATTACTAAATAAAATCTCTGCCCCAGCTCCAATTTTGGGTCAGACAATACACATACATATCTTAATTTATTGCATGATTTTTCATACTCAATGTACATAATTCACTGGCTAGTGATGGACGATTTGGAGACAAAATGCCTTAAAAAACAAAAACTCACTGATAGAATTTGGCACAGTAATCGCTACAAACATGCAACGAAGGAAAAGAGTCAACAATGGGAATTTGGACGCAATGTATTCGACTGCCTATTGTCTATGGACCAAATTACGAGATCCACGGGCAAACGCCTCTAATGAATGCTCAAATTTGAATTGTCTAAACAAAATATGCCATCGTCGTGTGTGTGGGAATGCTTCATGCCAGCAACCTAAAAACTTTTGAGCCCCGAGCGGGACCGAGAGAGGGCGCAATTTGCCTAGCAACAGAGGGCTCCTTTGGTGGAAATGGCACTTCACTGGTTCACCAATGACTATGAGATGCACGGTTGTTACGTTTGCGTGGCTACCAACAAAATGAACACTCCCCACCAACATGGCTCTTTTCAACCAATGAGCGGGGGTTCTTCTGCTCAAGGTGGACAGGACCGGCCCATATTTCAACCGCTGTTAACGACGAAGTGGATTTTGGTATCTCTTACCTAATGACGGAAGGTCTCCAAAGGAGTCAAATAACATAGGAACAGTGTCTTTGTCTAGGGAATTCAAAATTTAAAATGTGTTCCACATCTGGAATGCGTGCAACACATGTGGAATACATGTACAACATTTGGAATGTGTACGGCGTTTGGGAAAAGCTAGGGAGGTTGATTTTAAATTTGATCTGCGCAGAGAACAGGTTGCTTCCAAATTGCTTAAAATGCAGACAGCTTACCCTCACTGCTGGACTTGGTTCCCCTCAGATTTCCCCTCTGATTTTAAAAAGTGACCAAACGTAACCTCTTTGAGGGTACACTGTGTGACGTCTCTACCGACTGTCTGCACTCGGTATGAAATCCAGAAGGTCGAAGGTCAAAGAGCATCTGTAATAGCAAGGGGAGGGGGGGTGGGAATGCGACAGCAAAATCTTGGGATCGGAGTCGAGTATGACGCCTGACGTAGGAAGAGCAGAGCTCTGCATCAATACTCGGTGGACGCCTCCACAATGACTGAACTGTCAGAGCAATGTTATTTTTCAGATTGCAGCCTGGTCTGGTGTCCACAAGCAAGGCGATTGATCTGGCTTGCCTCTCTTTGTGTAGCCACTGACTGAGAGACTGGTTCCAGACTGAGCTGGGTACTGACCCTCGATTGTCAGAAAGAGTTGAGATGCCTGTAGCAGCTTTATTTCATCCAAACCAATTTTCCAGTATGCTAGCTCTGTAAATCTCAACAATAAAGCGATACTGGCTTCGTTTAAAAAAAAAAAAACATCAACAATCTTTGTCACTGTGGCTTTGGTAGTGGTCGGTTCCCTCCTCACTTGACACAGAGAAAGCCTCGGACGTTGAACAGGAACGTCTCCAGCCTGCTCAGGAATTGCACTTTGTTCTTGCGGGACATCTGGAGTGGCTCGTCGGCCGGCGTCAGTTTGCTGAAGGCTTCAGCCAAGCGCTGGCAAATGGCCGGATCTGATTGGCTGCCCAGCAGGACGTTGACAAGCTCTGTATACTTGGCCTGTTGAGAGTAAAAAATGAAAACAAAGATATGTTGTCATCCTTTTCACCTGTTAAATAAACAAATCTGGGAATGATTCAAATGAAGCAAACTGAAGTAGATTAAAATATGACATTGATAAACTGACATAGAAAAAGCTTCTTGCGAATTAAATTTGAATAAAATCTGATACACAGAGTCTCTGATTGCACATAATTATAACAATTTGAATTCCCCAGTCTAAAGCCACTGTTGCCATACCTCGTGATTTGGAGCTTTCAAGCTTTTGCACAGCAAGCAACATCTCTGGAATGGACTAGTTCCTTTGTGCCCTTCAAGGTTCAAGGTGTCTCTTGTGTAACTAAGCAAAAGCTTGCCCCGAATCAAGAGGTATAGCAACAGTGGTTTTACTATGGAGAATTCAAATTATTATTTTCACATGAATATAAAGAACTCGGTGTATCAGATTTTCTTCAAATTCAATTCGCAAAAGACTCATTGGAAGGCTACGCAAACTGTCTTCACACGGTCTTGTTACCATAATAATCAAGCGTGCAGCGTTTGACTTGTTTATGCTGTCAACATGCCGTAATCTGGCGCCCTCAGCTGTTCTCGCTCAGACCCAACACCTACCTGATGACAGCATATCAGAGAGTAAAAAGCCTCAGCTGCCGACGATATCAACTCCATGTCGAAGGTCTGCATCAAAACTATCTTGAAGACCACCTGAGCAGTGATGAGACATGCACAGCCGTGAATGCATTTGCGTAAAGTGAATGACAAATGACACCCTTCAGCCAATCTGCTTATATGAGAAAAACGCCATTGAAATCAACTGACGGTGACCGGCTACACAGTCGACCTTGGCGAGTAATTCCGACAGATACAGTGGAAGATTCATAGTTACACTACGGAAAAGATCTGCCTCGAGTGGTTTAAAGATGGTTTCTGAGAAGACACAGACAAGAGTGCTTAGTAAAGTTTAGGTGCTTAACCCCTTCATCCCGGGAACTGTCGACAGCCGCGGCTTTGTGCGAGGATGAGTGCATACCACACATACAGTCTATTCACCATGCAGCTGCTGGTTCAATGTGGGCCTGCTGCTGGACAGAGCTTTGCATACTGGGCATACCGCAGCCCAGAAGTCACGGTCAAAAGAATCCCGGCGTGAAGGGGTTAAGCAAAACTCGCAATGCACATCACATGGCATCTAGGCCAATAACCATTTTTGTTTTGTTTTTTTTGCTAAGCGGAGAACTCTTTGGCGATCAGCAGCTCTTTGGCGATCAGCAGCTCCACTCACCTCGGTGAAGTGCCTCATGGCCTGGAAGAGGGCGCCCTCCGTCATCTGGTTCTCCACGCAGTGGCCGGCCAGTGTGGCCAGCCCGTCCAGGCACATCTTGGTCACGTCCGCGCCGTACTCTGTCAGGCCCACCTCCAGTGAGGCCATGAAGTTGTTGAAGAGAGACTCGGCCAGCAGGCAGATCTTGTCCGGGAAGAGCTCGCAGATGAATGTGATGAGCTTGAAGTATTCCGAACACAGGATCGGAAACTGGACGAATAGTATATAGCGTATTGTGTTATTGTGTGCTGTGATACAAAAAATTTCAGCGTGCAGATGAAATAATTGGTAGCAAGGATAGCAAGGACCTGTGACTGGTCCAAATATGTGTAGCGTACTTACTTTCAGAAGGTTGGCATTCATGAGTGGTACCACAATGTTTAAGCCGTGGAGGACGATGTCTGAGGACTCAATGGCATTGTTCACGTCCTCTGTATGTGCAAACCAAACAACACACTTTTCACAAGTAGCAGCAGAGTGCTCAAATGACATAGGACAATTTCAGAGGGTTTTGCGGACAACTGTCCTCAGACTACAGTTGATGTCCTCACATTATCTTGTAGCCTCAGCATACACAGAGGCCTAATCAAAAGCAAACTTTAAATTCTTGGACCAGCAAAGATCACTGCATGAATTCTAAACCATATTCTCTGAACATGTGGAAATCTGGGCCATTTCTAGAATCTGCAAAAGTTGTAAGCTGTTCTTTCAACTCGTATTCACAGGGTTAAAAAAGTGCTGGCCTGGTTGTTTTATTTGACAAGTCTTACGTTACATGTGTTCACTACCTCAAGGATTGGGATTGAATCTACCTATGTGCCTACCGTCATCCAGAAAGACAAACATGTCCCTTGAGAAGAGACTCGAGAGCAGCTCCATCATAAGAGACAGGTCTCGGTACTGTTCCTCCTCGGCTAAGACCCCCAGGTTGGTCCTGCCAAGGTTGACTTCAGAGTAGGCCTGCAGTAAGGCCAGTGACACCTCATACATCTTGACAGACTCAGCCTGCAACAATGAACATACGAACATACAAGGTATGAAACATTTTTCAGTGGCAACACACACGATACTCTCATTTCAGTTTGAATAACACTGGTAGTTTTTTATTTCTGGACCACGGATGGGTGTGAGGAGACTAGACAAACGACTTCAGAAAGGCAAGTCTAATCGCTATTTTCTTTCTCTGCGAAACGAGCCTACAGTAGAGATGATGCCCTCAGATCATAATGTCCTCAGATCAAGACGTCCTCGGGTTGCTGAGTCATCTCACCTGGGTGAGGAAACAGAGCTGGTGCATGGCCACCTCCACAAAGACCTCCAGCACCTGTTCCACCACCTCCGGGTAGTTTCGGTAGATGCGCAGGAGCGAGACGCCGTCCCGGAGCATGGGCAGGCAGAAGGTGAAGAGGTCGCTGGCCCGGTTGACCTGCGTCCCCAGGACCACGCCCCGCAGCAGGCACAGGAGGTGAGCCACCTGGGCCTGGACCTCAGCCACTAGAGCCCGCCCGGCGAAGTCCTCACGGTGGAGGAGCTCCCGGAAGGCACTCTGGACAGGGTTCAGAATCTGAAGACAGCGGAGAGAGAGAGAGAAAAAGAAAAAATAAACCCAATTGGCCGAGTTGAACAACACTGAAATAGGTTGGAATGCTACATACTTGTATGTGGATGGATCTCACAAAAGGAGTCTTAAGGTCTGAGCTCTTTGGTCTAATGTGCCTCTATTTGGCATCTTCATGCAAACAGACAATATGTGATACAAACTGTTGAGGGTTCCTCCTCACTGACATCGCACAAGATTCTCAAGAAGACCTTCAACTCAAAAGTGGCTCTGATTGGCTGGTTGTTAAAGTAATGTAAAACACATGAAACAGATTTTGAAACCTTCCTGTGTTTTAACCGTAAAGTTGTACGATTTGAGATTGAAAAAAAAAAAAAGGAGTCAGTAACGACAAAAATGCCCCGTTGTTGCTGTGACATCATTGGCAAGAAAACACACAGCCTTCCCAACCTTAATGTTCTCCCCATGTACAATGAATGTATCTCTTGTGAAAAAAAAAAAAGGCTCAAATTTCTCAAGATTATGAGCGACTACTCCAATGTGGTATTTTTTTAAGCAGACCTCATTCTCAAAGCGCTGCCTCTCGGCTGTATTGTCCGGTATGCAGGAGCCGGCCATGACCAGGGCTTGCATGAGGCTGGACCGGACGTCCAGCGGCAGGGTGTCCAGCTTGGAGGGCTTGGAGGAGTGAAGCTTGGCCAGGACCCAGTAGCTGTCGCACTGTGTGGCCGGAATTGCCCTGGAACGTGAGCCAAAAATAAAAAACAAAAACGACTCATCGATTCGATTCATATCCGTTGGGCGTCAACTTTGATGAACATAACTGGGGTTTGAACCTTGGACAACCCTGATACTGAACTTCAGCTCCACAAAAGAGCTATTTAACTCAATGTTGGTAGAGTTTACCCTTACCATTCAAAATATGAAGAAAGACTGTCAGAAGGCAAAATTTGGGCACAAAAAGAAATTTACTGGGGTGGAAGCTCCAGCCACCCCCTCGTCCTCTTCTTTAAATCTGCACCTCTGCACTCACTTGTCCTTTCGGTTGACCAGGGCCACCATCAGGTCGATGGTGTCCTTGGCCAGTTCATGCTCTGACGACCACACCAGGAGATTGGTCACCACCTTCTGCAGGAGGAAGTTGACTGTCCACTGACCACTGGGGGAATCCTGGCCAAAGACGGCGTTGATTGGAAGACTTATCTGGAGAACCCGAAATAGAGCAGACAACTTGTTAAATAGTAAGGGCCGACAGGCTAGCATGTTTGTTTCAACATCTTCTTTGGTACCGGGTCATTTAAAAATGCCACTTACAAATCTTCAGTGGATTCATACTCCAAATTGTTTTCGGTTCCCAAGTTCTTTTCTGACTACAACCATGCCTGCGATCAACTGTATCAACATTTGAATACATATTTAAAGTTAAGAATGGACTTAATGGCACTGAGCGTGCACTGTTGGGGGCACCAGCCAACTTTCTTGTGAGACCCATGTATTGCCAATGCCTGGTGCTCTAAAACTGGTTCAGTAAATGTTTAGTAACATTTGATTGAAAGATTGTTCCAAAAGATGGATACCTTCACCCAATGACAACTCCCACATTATTTGCCATTAGTGGGCCCGTAAGAAAACCAAGTCATCTAATAAATCACTCGGCACTCATCTCAGACTCCTGTTTTCTCACCTCTGAGTAATACTTCTCATGCAGCAGTAGGTATGGTATGAGCCATCGTCTCAAACACCAGACGGTGCTCCTTCCAACCTGGGGGCTGAGGACTTCGGCAAAATCTGACGACGCTTGCCTCTCGACTTCTGCTAATCGTAAGATGGCTGCTATTAATCTGGACAAGGCAGGACAGAGGAAGAATGCAACAGATTTAAAATTTTGAAAACTCACTGAAAAAAAAATTGACTTATTGATATTGCCAATCGCGACGACTTCAAAAACCAAAGCACAATGTCGACGAGTGTTTGCGCTGAAAAACTAGCAGGGACAACAAAAACGCACAGAAGGGAAATATCAATGTGCAGAAGTGATGTACTTCCACTCTGTGAAGGTGTGTTTGAATGACGTGGCTATGGCTTACGATAACACACACGTCTATGGGAGGTGGATGAAGCCCCAAGCCGCTGACTTCCATAAGGTCATGTGTTACTGAAAGCCGCTGCCGTGTAATTGGGATGCAGTCTTAAAATTACTTTGGACTGCCAGAATGCCTCTGCCCTGTTAAGTACTAAACTTGAGTTTTGTCACGCACAAATGGTTTAGCTAGAGCTGTAGACAGTAGCGCCAACTTCAAACTTTGGATCCAAAATGGCTGTTCGTTAAGTATGCAGTATTGATGCTAACATTCCCCATTTTGGTTCCAACAATTGAGACGCTCATGTCGCAACTCCCTCTAGAAACAGCCCTGGAGCAAGCTGGTACAACAGTAAGCCCGTCCCTACCTGACGACTCTATCTACTTTCTCGTCATCTATGATTGGTTGAGCTATATCGGCCGAGGACGTCCAGAAGCGCAGCATCTTCTGCACGTCCACATTGCACGCTTGGCTGATGGAATACTGCATGATCTCGGCAGGGATCATGGGCGTTTCCCCCTTGGACTCATTGGCCAAGATGAACCCTGCTCCGAGGTTGAAAGAAATAACGAACAACAACCTCAAGGCAAATGACACATGCTTTTCAAAACATTTATTGATGTCTTTTGAAAATTGCTTTATGACCACTGCTGGAACGTTCAGCAATGGAGGGATATAAGGTCAAATCTTCAAGCCTAGAAAATATCTTGAGACATAGAAAACCTTGCAAGCAGTCCATTTACTCAGAACTTTCATTTCGCATAAACTAGGCAAATACTGACCGTCAGTTTTTCCAAAACAGAACACAACTACACCACAGCATATGTGTGCTGACCAAGAAATGCTTTGAGCCACTTGGAAGTAAAGTCACAGTCACGAACAAGCAACAGAGGGTGACATTAGATGCAAAACGTGCTGGGCCATGGTCAGTTTTTTTTGTTTGCTGTTGATCGCGGTCAAATAAACCACCAAATGTTCCGTGTCATCCACTTTTTAAATGACCATTCAAAACAAACGAACCACCTTGCACCATGTTTCCAGGAGGAACACTTCAACTTGACTGTTCAACTTTTCGAAGAAAGTTTGGGGGAAAACTGCACCTGTGATGAGGAGCAGCCAGTGCAGGTCCTCAAAGAGACAATGCAGTCGCTTCATGTCCAGGTCCAGGTTGTGGCTGGACGTGGCTCCCGTCCTGTGGTGCTGCAACCTCATCAGGTGGGACTGTAGACTGGTGACCCTGTCCTCCAGAATCCTGTACACACAAAAAAAAGAAAATTGGTGCCAAAAAACTTGTCCGATTCTTTGATCCACTGGAGAGAAGAGTTATCTCCAGTTAGATACAAAATACTGCACCAATGCAGAAGATAGATATTTGAAAACCATTACGTGGCCACTTTTGATCGGCCCCTTTTCTAATTTTCACAGATGTGTAAATGTTACTTAATATATTGTTGCTTTCCAACCCAAAAAACTGATTGACCTAACTTGGGGAAGAAATTCTGCTCTAGATTTGATTCAGGGGAAGTTTAAAGGGTTGCCCCCTAAACCACTTACTTTGACAGAAGAGGAATGCTGTGCTCCGGTACGGCCCGCCCCAAGACGCCGATGCAGCTCAGTTGCTCCTCAAACAGCTCCCGATCATCCTCCTCCACTTCGTTGATGTCTTCTTCATCATCGCTCGTCTCTCCGTCTTCTCTCTGTGGGAGGAGGGAAGATCTGTAGAGTTACAATTGAAGTCTACAGCTTCGTACATTTACTGTGAGTGAGAGCAGCGCAGAGGGTCGCATCTTTCGGATGATAAATACGATATTGCGACTCTAAATCTACAGAAAAGAGAAGGCTTTGGTGCTTCCGCGTCAGTTGCCTCTCATAGTCTGTTTAAGGTTTTTGTATGATACCCATGCCCCATAATGGTGACACAATAACCACACGAAAGTCAGTCAAATGGAATCACCTCAAATCAAAATAAAATCAAATGGAATCAAATCAAATCAATACAAAATAAAATAAAAAAATCCTCATACCAGATTGCGGAGGCCATCCGGTGCCCCCAGGTGACACTGAAGGTACAGGTTGAAGATCTGGGAGGCATGAGGCTTGAAGTAGCCGTCAGGAAATTTGGAGGAATTTTCCAACAGGCTGATCCAACATTCCAAGAGCTTATCATAAGCCTCCATGTACTGCTGGTCGTCCTTGTGCATCTAGGGAGAAAATGAGAAAGGTGAGGAAGACGCACAAGAATGTTACAGTCCCGGCTTGCAAAAAAAAAAGGGTGCATTTCCATTTATTGAACCTGCATGTATATACCATTAAACACAGGTTACTGTGTTGGAAATCAGCTTCCATACTGGCAAGAGCCATTTGACGGGCCAAGGCCTCCTGTGCAGAGATTTGTAAACAGCGCCCTCGGGAGGCCACAAAGCCAGAGACCTATCAAGGTCACTCAGTGAGACACCAATCAGAGTAGTAGTCCACTCTGGCAATGTTCTATTTCTTTAGAACCGACCTTAATCCATGACTGCGGTGTTGATCCCCAGAACTGCAGGGTTGGACGTCCGCGAGACGTCGCGAGAGCCCGGCAAACGTGGAACCCCACAGTTCCGGGGGTATGCAGTGTTCATCCTGTGCGGCTGGTCCAATACTCTCCTGATTTCAAGCTGTAATCCTGCTTTATTCATCGCAGGAATTTTTTTTTTAGTCTCAATTTCAAGTCTAGGCACCTCAATGCTGCCACCCTGTGACAGTGACAGAATGTAAGACTACTGACAGAGGGTGCTGAAAGTGGGGGCCTTAAAAACAGGACAGATTCTGCTTTCTTAGGGACTCAGGACACTGAAAAGAAAGGCCATTCTGTGGAACAGGTGATTCTGAGGCAAGGAAATGAGGCATTTTTTTGGGTGGGGAGGGCCCTTGGGTGCAGTACTGATGCTAAAATTCCCCAGGAAAACTTCCCCGAAACTGGTGAATTTTAGTGGTCACTGTCCCCAAACTGAGCGTGTAAAACACTTGGGGCACTTAATAGGTATACCTTGAGTAAAACAATCAAGAAACGTTAGCAAAATCAAACAATCTCTGATACTTTTATCGCCCAACAATCCGGCTTTTATTCAGGGTTGTAGTGCAGGTTTAAACCCAGTATCATTTTCAAGGCGAGTCGGTTAGCTGATCAATCTCCCTCCATCACTGCGTAGCGGCCTTGAGGGCCCAGACTATTACATCTGTACCAGTGCCAAGCTCAGGTCATCCCCTCAGAAATGGCCAAGGGGCAAACTTGGCAAACACTGGTCTCCATTGTACCTCCTCCTGTTGGTGTCCCTCCCCTTCAGCTTGAGACAAGTGTTTGTTTATGGAGGAGAGTTTAGCCAGGAACTGAACACCAGAGTTGCTTCAGGGACCATGGGTAATTGAAAAACTGAAATTGGTAATCCATGTAGGTTCTTGGACCCTCTCCTTGTTGGTGTCCATTTATAACAAGGGGTCTGTTTTTTTTGCGGAGTTGGCTCATGGTTGAGGTGAGGAAGAATGATGTGTAACTTGGCTTTGAGTGTTACTTTCATTTGAGTATTTTCTTTCAAGGCTCTGTTAAATATACCTTCTTGGTTGATATCACCACAGTCGTGTTGAAGTTTTGTTGTCAGGTTTTGCACATGCGAACATAAACTGTTCCGAAGTGAGTTAGTCTTATTCTGCCGTCTTTCCTGTCCAACTGTCGCAGAGAGGATTATTACTGGAAAAAGATTGCTGTTTATAAAGACTAAATTTCCTGCTGTAAGTTAGTTCTGCTTCAACTGCAAGGTTTGGACAGATACAAGTTATTATCCATTGCACATCAACCTGTCAACAACACACTGCTTGCATTTTCTCAATGTCTAAAAAATCTTCGAAAACGCTGCATCTTTAACCGGTGAACCTGCTGGCTTTTGCCTTTCAGTACGCTTTACTGGGGTTGCGACACAAGCTCCTTGCATCTCTCTTCCCCAACCGGGAAATACAACCCCAGTATATTAATCCTGACAGGATGATTGGACTGGCAAACTCCCTCAGAGATTGGACAGTTGCTGAGCATCAGCTATTACTAGCAGACTGCTTGCAGTGGTCACATCGCTCGCGTAAAGTGATCACCATGAGTTTTCTTCTCAAAACATACCTTCTCATGTTGGTTTGTTCTCATGTGGCTACAGTATCCATTTAAGTACCGAGGGACAGTGTTGTCGATGCCAGTAAGTATTCAATATTTCAACAAAATTGATAACAGGCAAAACACAACAGCGAAACCTGAGTTTAGAAAAGGCCTATAAGCTTTTACTGCGATGTTAAATTTGGAAATCAAAATGGAAAAACGTTTTTGAGAATGTTGTAAGAATTTGATTCACTTGCTGAGCAGGCTCTATATTATTGCCCTCTCGTCATGAAGATGTTGGGGGCGCTTCACACAAAGTGCTTTTTCTCAACAGTAATAGGCAGACAGGTTTATTTCTCTCGTTAACCCAATTATGAAAAAAATAAATCTACCTTCCCCCTTTTTCCTAAGCATGTTGACCAATCCAACAGTGCCTTGATTACACTTTCAAGCAGCCAGGAAGCAGTGGCAGAAAAGCAAAAAAGAACCCAGGATCATTTCCTGTGCCCTGGGGTCAGAATCGGGCCAGCGATTAAGACAGAGCTTTCTGGAATAGCTCCAGCAGGCCACACTTCATCAATGTCTTAGCTCAGAATTTTTAAGAGCCCAAGGTTGCCTGACCTAGTCCCCGTCCCGCTCCCCTTTTTTGTTATTAGGAAGCAATCACGTCAATAAAACCAAGAACAAGGGGTGCATTCATGGGCCCTGGGTGTAAAAATTGGAAGAGGGACAGAGAGGAATTAAGTCCGTTTCATGACCAAAACAGGATGGGCACCCGTCTAAAAAGGTGTTCATTCGTCAATGCCAAGAGGTGCGTGTGAGCAAGTGGCAAAAATGCATGGAAAGGAAGGAAAGGAGGCTTTTCAGACATTTGCTTATCGCAGATCCTCATGTGCCAAGTGTTATTGTGGATGAAGACATCCATTGCATTGGCACTTTTCAATGTCAAGTCATGCTTTGATGTAAGACTTTGTTTTGGTTTGGTGGATGGCAATGTTGGAATTGCTTTATGCTCATAGCTTTTGGAAAGCTCGTAAAAATAGGGAAATTTTGCAAGCTTACTGGGGGTGGAACTTCAACCCAATGAGGAATAAGAACCAGTCTGTGCCAAATTGCCAAATTAGGAACAGGGCAAATCACACAAAATTGCTCTCATTGAAAGAAACTGGCCCAAGTTGTGACCTATTGGCACTTCCTGAAAAGTGACACCCGAAATTGAAAAACCAAGACTCAACTTCTCACCATCACGGTATGCTGTAGCCTCGGGTCCGGTGCCCGTTCTCCAGTGTTACAATAACATATGGTCAATGGATCTATAAAGAATCTGACCAGGTGCTTGACTGGTACAATTTCGGAACTGCAAGATTAGGGATGAAATGGCAAAAACATGTTTGGGCTCTCCACTGCTGAAGTCACTAAACAACCAGCGCCGTTCTAATTTCGGCCCACGGACTAATCTCCACCAATTTCTTTCCCATCTTCCGAAGCGTGGCTGACATTTTGGGGGGAAAAATGCAAAGAATGAATCGCTGCGGCTGAATTATACAAAAAAGGTCCGACAGCATCACAGGGGAACGATGGCCCATGCACACGGCCAACTGCAATCCAGAGAGCGAAAGACCAGAACAGCCAAATCGATGGAAGAGTCGCTGAACTGAACTCGTGTCAATCAGGGACCCGATGCTGCAGAAGAAACATACTTCAACCATGGTTCCACACACAAGCATACTTGAACGCTGCTACATTACAAAGAATGATCGCACAAACGCACACATTTAGTTTTCACATGTGCACTGTGAGAACACGGCGAGAATAGCCATGTGACAGGCACACATATTGTGAGGACACGGTGACGTGAACATATGCTGGAAAAATGGTACTAACCTTAGACCAAACAGTAAAGTCAATGCCCAGTTCATTTGAAATTGGATATTAAGGTGGTTTAATTTCCCTAAAGCCCAAAAGACTTGGGCCATTTTCTACACAAATTGCTTCCCAATCATCTTGGGCAACTGTTGCCAGGCAGTTTACAAATTGAAGGCCATCTAAACTGCAACTGTGAATAGTTGAGAATTGAAACCAGGCGACCTGATGAAAGGTATCACATGTCCACTATTAAGATCCCAGTCCTGGGCAATGTAGGCTACCCTGAATTGTGGAAATCCTTCCTCGCTCTGCATACCAAAGAATCATTAGATTTAGATAAATTTCTGTGCCAGTGACAAAGATCTTCTCATGTCCAAATTGAATTTCTTTGAAAAAAGAAAGGAGCCGGCAAGACCTCACCAGAACCTCTTCCCAAATTGAGATTTAATTGGCCGTGAAATTGTACCAAAATGCTTGATTACACATCAGGCTAACAAAAAACAAATAGAATCAGTAAAACAATTCCCCTACCCAGACACACATACCCCCAACGAAAACCCACACACATCCCAGAGGATTAAGTCTGTGAAATTAGGCCAGCAATTATTAAAGTCAAGTGTTTACTTCAACACAAAATGAAGTGGACTATTGGTAACACAAGCGCCTACCGGCCCGGCGGCGACCTCTTCTCTGAGTGACCCCCCTAGGCCTAGACAGGTCAAGAGGTCAGCTCAGAAAGTAGAACTAGAGCAGATGAGTTTTCTGGAAAAGGAAGGGAATGTGAAGAATGATCAGAGTAAACAAGGTCGGAAGTTGTTGGTTGCATTAGTTCGCTGAGTGTTTGGAGAACGAAGGAGTCTATTTTTCTCAATCTTCTTAAATTTCAATTATTTGTAGCTGAGTCTACATTTATTTGAATGAGCTCAAAATGTCGTCTGCCATCTGTGAGGAAATAAGATTGTAGAAATAAGATTGTGGGGAAGTGTCTTCTGTTTGTGTTTCTCGAACACCACTGGAAATATGAGATTGCTGGCGACACTCGGTGGCAGCGTCCCTGGGGGGGGAAGAAACGGTGCTATTTCTTCAGGATAGAGGACGAGTGTCCTCAGGTAAGGAGATCCAGAAGAATGAGACATGGACAACATCTGGCTTTTCCGGTTTTCTTTAATTAGGCCACACAAAATCACAAATTCTAGATAAAATCAAATCCTTGTA